GGGAAAGTCCTCTAGCTCTGCTTCCAGCTCCCACAAGCTGTGTGGCAGAATGGCCTTCTGGCATAAATAAAAATAAACCCCAGACGCTGCTTTTCAGTCAGAGGATTAGCCTAAATGTTGTGAAACAGAAAGCATGAAATATGCATTGGAGAAACAGCTCTCCCCACTCCTCAGCCTCCTTGCATGGCTCCAGGCGGCTGGTGTCTGCGTGGGGCTGCTTGTTCCCACCCGGTGAGGCTGTTGATGATTTGTGCACAGTGTCAGTAAATGCTGTTATGACATTATTAATGCTCTGCACTCCGGCGAAGGACAATGGCCTGTTGCCTCTTAATGTGCTGTCTGTGGCTGCGGTCACAGAGCATTAAGTGAGGATTTTAAACACCGTCAACTGTCGGTTTCCTTCTTTCCTCTTCCCGCCCAGGCCCTGTCTGTGAGCTTCAGAAGCAACCTTGAAGCCTGGAGAAGGTGGCGGTGGCAATCTAGGCTCTGATCCCCAAGAGGTTTCCAGGGAATAATTGGGGGGGGGTTTGTGGGGGCCTGCGGGGAACCCTTGAGTGCACCCAGGAGTGTTGACCTCTCTTCGGGGGCAGTGAGGGGTGTTCGCTGTGGGGGCTGGTCCCAGAGAAGCTGGGCCTGCTGGGCGGGCAGGGCCGGTGGGCTCCCTGCTTTGCCCTCAGCTGACACCCCAGAGGACCCGGATGCCAGACCTCCAGTGAGTTTTATTGGTCTTGCATAATGTTCTAAAAATATTGAGTCCACATTTTACAATTATGCGACTGCACGTGGGAAGTCCAGATTTCTGACTCTTGAAATAACTGGGCCCACACAAAACAACAGTGCATGTCCCCTTTGGGGACCTCCGGTCCTTGGCACTGCCTAACTGCCGTGGCCACTTCCCACTAGGTTCCTGCAGTAGGCTGAACAGTGTGCCCCCCGCCCCCAATTCAGGTTCACCTGGAACCTTGGAACATAATCTTGTTTGGAAAGAGGATCCGTGCGGAATGTAATTTATTAAGATGAGGTCATATTGGAGTAGGGTGGGCCCTAATCCAATGACTGGTGTCCTTCTAAGAAGAGGAGAGGACATGGAGAGAGACAGAGAGAAGCCCTTGTGGTGCTGGAGGAGAGACTGGGGAATGCAGTTGGCAGCCAAGGAGTGCTGGGGGTCACAGGACCCGCTGGATGCCAGCAGAGAGGCCTGGGCCAGACTCTCCCTCAGGGCCTCCACAAGGGACTGACTCTGCCAAACCCTTGATTTAGGACTTCGGCTGCCAGAACTGTGGGAGAATCACTTGCTCTCGTTTTAAGGCCCCCGACACGCTAGTCTGTTATCATGGGCCTAGGAGACAACTTAGAGCACCTTCCCTTCTTTGCCTGGCCCACCCCCAGGGGTCTTGAGTACAGTAGTCCTGCACAGTATACATGACCCACTTCTCCAAATCCCTTCCCCAGAGTCCTGCTTCCCTTCTCTGGACAGAGGCCCTCCAGCCTGGCCAGGGCCTCCTGCTGCTTTGGGGTGCATGGGGAAGGCAGTGGGGGGGGGGAGCCAGGAAGTGCCCTCATCTGACTGCCTGGGCTGTAGCAGTCTATGCCCTGACGCCCACGATGGGCTAGCCTGTGGTTCTGTTTGTAGCCTCAAGAGAGAAAGAGTGAAAAGGGGATGTTTTTGGAATCTGGTGTGACCTGCTGTGTCAGTCCTTGGATGTGCCCCCAATTCCTGCTCTGCTAATCTCTTCTAGCTTGCTTAGGGTGGCTCTGGTTCCTTCTCAGAGGGCCATGGCTATTTAACTAGAACCATGGTTCCCCATCTTGGCCAGTTATGTCAACATAATCCATGGCATTAAAAGAAACCAATGTGCCCAGACCCCAACTTTGGTCCGGAATCAAGGTAGGGAGCTTCTGTTCCGTCAGGTTCCGCAGGGGACTCTGCTGGATCTGGGCTGGGAACTCTGGCCTGGAGAGTAGGGCTTGGCTTGGGTTCCCTGGAAGTAGGTTCTCAGACAAGGATGCTAGTGCCCGTAGTTTATTTCGGAGGTGACCCCGGGAGCATGGACAGAAGAGTAGGGGATGAGGCAAGGAGGGAAAGAAAGCGAGCTCGGGGTGTGCGATGGAGCCGGCCACCACCACGGGCAGCTGGAGTGTGCTCTCTCTGCGGGAACTCTGGGAGCAGGTGTGGAATGTGCTGGAGCATCCCGCCTGAGGAGAGGTATCTGCCCATTCCTCGAGGGCTGCTTCCGGGACATCAGCGCCCTGGCGCTGCTGTCCTGCCCTTGCACGTTCGAGCATATTCCCACGGCCAGAAATAAAGCCTCAGGCAGTGTCGCATGTGTCCTCAGTAGTCTGCCCTTTGGCCTGTGGAGGTGGACGCCCGGGGAAAGGGTAGGGGCAACGACAGCGTCCATGCAGGTAGACAGGAGCGGGAAAAATCGTAACGGCCACACCGCGAGGGCTCATAGGCACCAGCCGCTGCATTTTCATGTCCCCCTGGGAGGCAGGTTCTAAAGAGCTCAATCAATGGCCAGGGAAACTGAGGCACCAAGAGAGCGTCCACAAGGTTGCATGACTAAGGGTGCACAGACTTCCTCCTGATGTCTACAGCAGACAGCACGCAGGACCATTTACACTGATCTTTACCGTAGACAAGGGGGGATGGGGGGGCGGCAAGAGGGGAACAGTCTGAAAGGAGGCGGCTGGGCAGTCTGGCTCAGACCATGTCTGCCCCATGCCTCCCTGACTGGCTGCAGGAAGGCACCTTCCCTGCCTACCTCAGAAGCCACGAGCTAGAGGGCAAAGCTCAGAGGGGATGGGGAAGACCCACTCCCACCTTCTGAGCCAAACCAGACATGGCTGTGCCTTTCCTCCCCTTTGGCCTGAAGTGCCAAAAGCATGACCGCCCCCCTCCCACCGTGCCCCCCACCCCGAGCTTACACAAGACACAATTGGAAGGGCCATTTCATTCCTGAGTGTAGATGTGGAGTTCACCTTGATATCCGGGGTGTAAATCAGTGCCTGGGTGTGTGGCAGGTGTGGGCCAGGCAGAGACCCCTTCCCTTAGCTAGCGCCTGGGCCGGCCTGCCACGAGGCCCGCTTCCCGCTGCCGTTTGTCACTCCCCTGCACCGAGGCACGGCCAGCATGTCCTTGTTCAATGCAAATTTGCTACCTAGCTGGAGTAACACGTTAATCCGCCAACACCAATTCATCATCAGTTTTCACATTAGCAGAGAGCAAGGCGAGATAATGGAATGCGGGACAGGTGAATTTTGATGAAGGAGCAGGAAAAGCAGGAGCATGAGTCATCGCTGGTGAGAAATGGTTCAGAAGTGGGGCTGGGAGGTGGGCTAGCAGAGGGGTTGGAGGCGAGGGCCCCAGCTGGATGGGTTCCAGGCTGGGTAGATGGGAAGTAAAGGTTTTCTCCTCTTCAAAGCCAGGCTTTAGAATCACTGCTGGGATGGCAAGACCCTCAGGGTCATCCACGTCCTTTAACACGTGGTCTGAGGCCTTGGGCTCTTTTTATTAGCAAGGTGCGCCTCCCTGTCTGTGCTTGGTCGAGGTCTGGTTGGGCAAGTGCTGTTTCTGCCTGAGTGCTTTCTCGAATGTGAATGCGGGTCTGGCTTTGGCAGATGCCCTGCTTGGTTGCGCTGGGAGAAGCTGCCACCCTAGTGGCAGACGCATCTCCAAAGTCAAGAGGTGGAGGAGGTTGGGGGAGAGGGCGCGCAAATGCTTCACAGAGTTGGAAAGAGCCTTAGCTGACTTCAGTCACTCTCATTTCATCGTGGAGAAACCGAGGCTTTGGAGTCTTCCTGACTTGCAGGCATCAGCCACTGGGTAGTGGAGGATCTGAGACCAGAACCCAGGTCTGCCCCACGCTCTGGCTGCTGGGCTCCGTGGAAGAACCCTACCAGTGCAAGAGGCAGAGTTTGAACCCAGCGCAGTGAGTAAAGGGGAGCCAAGGGCAGTGTCTTCCAGAGAGGGCCAGAGGATGGGTGAGGGCTGCGAAGCGACCTCACAGCTGCTGGGACCAGGGCAGAAGCCCCGGGGTAGGGTGTAGGGGTGGGGGTAGGAGTGGGGGGGGGGGGGGGGGGGATGCAGAAGCAGCAGGAGGGGGGGCTTCTCTCAGCACCAACCTTTTCGAAGTGGCCCTCGGCCCTTGGGGCTGCTGGCATGCGGGTTGCTCTCGAAAGCGGGGCTGGGGACGTTACACAGCTGGAGTGTGGCGTAGGGACCCCCCGCCCCCTCCCCCGTACCGTGGCCGGGAGGGCGCGCTGCCGGGCGGCGACCACGAGGTGGCGCCGGCGCGCCGAGGAAGCGCGGCGGCCGCTTCTGGGCCGCCCCAGCCGCGGCTCTGCCGCCTCCTCGGAGGAAACAATGCGGCGCCTCCCCGCGTAGCGCGGCGCGGGGCCGGACGCCGGACACCCGACACCCGAGCGCGGGCCGCCGAGCGAGCGGGCGGCAGAGCGGGCGTGGGGCGCCCTCGTCGAGAGCCATGGGCGCGGCGCGGTGCCGGGCCGGGGTGCGGCGCGGCCCGGAGGCGCGGGGGCCCGGGGCGCGGGGCCGGGGCCGCCTCTAGCCGGCACCGAGGGCGCGGGCCCGGGGATGAGGGCGCCCGCGGCGGGGAGCCCGTCTGCGCGCCGCGGCGCCGTCCCGCCCAGCGAGCGAGCCCGAGCAAGCAGACGCGCGGCCGGCGGTCGGGGGGCGCGCCGCCTCCCGGCCCCAAAAATGTGAAGCGGGGAGGGCGGAGACGCAGAGACGGCCGGGCTGGGCGCCCTCGCCGCCCTCCGGCAGCCGCGCCGTTCGGCTTCCCCGCCCGCCGAGGCCGCGCCGACCCCGCGGGCCGCCGCCGGAGCAGCGAAGCCGCCGAGCCCCCGCGCTCCCCGACCCCCGCCTCCCTCGGACCCGGCTTCGGCCCGCAGCGGGTTCGCGGCCCGGACGCGGCGGGAGCAGGGCCCGGGACGGTGCGTCCGGCCTCGCCCGCGGCTTCTCGCCCAGACAAGTTTGAACAATGATCACAGTCAACCCCGATGGAAAGATAATGGTCAGAAGATGCCTGGTCACCCTGAGACCCTTTCGGTAAAGTTCTCTCCCGGATGGCGCGGGGAGGTCTTTTTCTCCGAGGGGGCGCTGGGTAGGGGTGGGCGAGGTCGTTCCCCGAGAGGGTGCCTGTCCCAGTGGCAGGGGGGGCGGTTCGTGCTTCTACGCTTGTGATGGACAGCGGGGCTATGGCAGGGATGGAGCCGAGGTTCGGGTTCGGGTGGGGAGGGGTGGGCAATCTGAGACGTGTCTCGAGTTGGTCTAGGTTGGAGAGGACTCGGAATGCGAGGGTGGGCATGAGGGCAGAAAGCACCCAGGTTGTGGTCCTGGGCCTCGGCCCAGGGTGCCCCTTTCCTGCTCCTTGGGGTCCTTCTCACTTTGCAGACGGCCCCACCCGGCGGCGAAGTTAGTGCGCCGTGCGGGGCGGCACCCCCCCACCCCCACCCCGCGTGCGCGTGGAGCCCTGGGTTGAGTCCTCCACCTGTGCCACTCCTCTGCCCCGGCCTTCTGCTCACACTCCCCTTCTCGCGGCGGGGTGCGGGCCTGTCTCCAACGGGAAGGTTCCCGAGATTGGAGCAAGGACCTCTCCCGGCCGTTCTGCTGGGAATTCGACCCTGGATCAACAGCGGTGGAGAGTTGGTGGCAGGGGCGGCGCTGCGGAGCCCCAGGGCAGCGGGAGCCCGGACCTCTGGGAACCTCCGGAGGCAGGAGGAGGGGAAGACCAATGCCCCCAGCCCAGTCTTCCGCGGCCAGGGCTAGGCAGGGCTGGGCCATATGGGGCTGGCTGGTCCCTATTGAACCCATCCCAGGGGCCCCCAGAGCCTGTCAGGGAAGGGGCAGCTCCTTCCTCTCTCTGGAGCCTGCGGAGCCCGCCTGCTGCCCAGGTCTAGGAGATGCCAAGTGATGGGTGCCCAGCGGGATGGGAGAACCACCTTGCTCAGGGGGGCTGGACAGCAGAGGGCGCCAAGGGAGGGGCGGGGGTCGAACTCCAGAGGCTACAGGTGGGGTGTGGGTGCCATCCACCCTGCAGGGGCAGGAACTGGGCAGGTGGATTTGGGTCGTGGGAGAGGCGGGTTTTGAGCCCCCGCCCCTGCCAGGGCCCCGGTTGGTCTCCCTCTCAGCCCCTGACGGGGAGATCATGGCTGAGGTGTCTGTGGCCTCCCCAGCAACTCCTGGGTGGGCCGGCTCTGTTTTGTGGAGCTGAGGAGACCGCTTTGGGGATGGCAGGGATCATGATGGACCACCACTGTCTGGAGGATACAGGAGGGGAGGATCGTAGAGCTGGTGATGCTGAGGGTATGGTCTTGGGCAGGAGACAGGGAGGCAGCTGGAGCTCTGACAGAAGGTTCCCATGAGAAGCAGGGCGAAGCAGGGCGGGAAGCGGGTGTCTCTGGAAAGGGCCTTACTCCTCCAGGGAAATCCTCAAATCCCTGGCTGACGCTGACTGTTTAGAGGGTCCTCTTCCCAAGTCTGCCGCCCCATGTCGACCCCGCCTTCCAAGTCATGTGGGGGTCAACCAACTAGGGTGTCAAGCTTTGGCTGGATATTTTCTGGTGCAATTGGAGGCGGCTGCAGGAGCCAGCACCACGGACAGCGCCCACCCCTGGGAGCTGCTTCCTTCTGGGGTCCTGGCTCTTTCTGGCTCTTATCTAAAGGCAGGATTCAGAGGTGGGATTGCATAGGTTCCCCTCCTTTCAAGCGGTGTGTCTTCGCCTAGGGTCTGTCTAGGCTGCCCAGAGACCCACAGCCACCCGTGGAGTCTTTGTGTCCCCTTCAGATGGAGGGGGGCTGCCTCCCACCACGTCACCCCTACTTGTTTTTAAGGACAGACTGGAGGCCCTGTCTCCTCTGTCTTCCTCTGGCAGGACCCTTATTCTGTAGTTGCTCCTGGCATGTTGCTTGAATAGATACATGGGTGGACAAAACCATTTTAACTTGAGTCTACTGTGATTGCCCTAGGATTGAGGTCTGGCAGAGACAGAGGCAGATGAGGTGTGCTGGGGACTTCAGATTCTGGGCGAAAAGTTTAGACTCCTTTTTCACAGCAGGACCTGCAGCCCAGGTCCCTAGCTCTAAATACAGTCCCACAGCTGTGGAGGGGGTTTGGGGAAGGAAGGGACCATAAACTCGAGGAATCTGTCCTTGTCCTCAGGCTGGGAGGACGAACAGCTGATTCCCTCAGGATCTTCCTGGGTGTGCAACCACCAATCTCCTCCACTCTTTCTCTGGCTGCTGTCTTGAGAGCAGTCTGGCTTCATCTTGGGATCCCAGAGCCCCATCCCCAAGCGTGGTGGAATTCAGTGAGGGGGCCCTCAGAGGTGAGGGGGCAGTGTCCATTATGCTGTCTCGCTTGTCCTCCTTGTCCTCTCCCAGGTGAAGCCTTCAAAGCTTTCTCTGCCTTGGGGGTTCTGCACCCTCTCTCATTTAACCTCTAACAGCTTCATTTAAATATGGGGTGGGAATTTTGTTGCGCTTTTATTTTCTTCTGCAATTGTGTGTTTTCTTTAATGGGCTAAGTTTTAATTAAATACCGCTCTGCCAGCTTCAAATAATGAAGATCAAAATGCATAAAGCAAGTCTTGCATGGAGATACAAACGAATGTGGTGTTGAGGCTGGCGGGTGGAGGTGAGAGGGCTGGAGGCCTCTAGCATGACTCGTGGGGGCTCCCCGTCATGAGCCTGGCTTTACATGAGATGGGCTTCCTCATCCTGACCAGGGTGGGGGGGATCCCCTTTCATCTCTACCAGCTTTGCAAGTCCCTCTGATCCATTCAAGGTCCCAGAACACCTCCATCTCTGGCCTCCCCAGTGCTGGTTAGTTCAGTTCTCCCGTTTGGGACCCAGCACCTGGTATGGAAGCAGCAGGAGACAGGAGTTCCCTGCTATCCCCTTGGGGCCACCCCAGTGCCCCACACCTGGGAAACAATCAGATGTGTGTTGAAGGAATGAACAATTGTCCTGTTTTGGGTGGCTCTCCTGACCTGCGCCCTGGATGACCTACCACTTGTGCACAGGTGTCCATTCACTCTGACCGGCCCACTGCACAAACTACCATGTGCCTTCCTGTTAAAGATGTGGGTTAGGGAGAATCTGGGCCCTGCCCTTGTAGATCTTCCCCTCTGGTAGGGATGGGGGCACATGCCATCCCCCTCGAACATGATAAGGAGGTGTTCAAGCCAGCTCATGACTGATGGCTGTGGCAAGACCCGTGTACACAGTGCAGAGCCGGGCCCGGGTGACTGATGGGATCCAGGTGGGTTTCGTCTGGACCAATGACTTGCCCTCTGGCTGGCGTCAGCACCTGCTGTTTGCATCTATACCAGCGGTTCTCAAACTTGAGCAAGGATCAGGATTGCCCCGAGAGCTTGTTCAAACACGTTGCCTGCAGTGTCTGATTTGGTAAGCCCAGGAGTGGGGCCCCAGATTTTGCATTTCTAACAATCCCAGCGTGAAGCCGGTGCTGCTGGTCTGAGGATCACACACTGAGGGCTGCGCTAATGAGCCGGGCTCTCTCTAGGAGGCTGGAACTTGCCTGAACTCTGCCTGTATCATTGTCCCTTGGGGTTTCATGTGAGGTTCTCGGCCATCTCCCTGTCGTGGAGCTCTCTTCATTCTGAGCTCAGCCCTGTATCTTCTGTCCCCCCATCCATCGTTCCATCCTCGCTCCCTCCCCCACTCATTCGTGCAGAGCCCTTGCTGGGTGGGGGTGCTTCCCGCTGGCCTGTTTCCGACCTGCTCTCTCGCTCTCTGCAGGCTCTTCGTCCTGGGCATCGGCTTCTTCTCACTCTGCTTCCTGATGACGTCTCTGGGAGGCCAGCTCTCGGCCCGGCGCCCGGGGGACTCCCCCTTCACCATCCGCACAGAAGGTATCTTGGTGGGGAAAGGGGAGTCAGAAGTGGGTGCAGGTGTTTGTGGGTGGAGGGGAAGGAGGCCTTTGAACCAGGCAACTCAGGGGACTCTCTGGGGCTCCATCCCAGGGATCCAGGCCACCTCATCTAGGGACGTGGGAATGGATCTGGGCCTTGGTTTAGGCTCTCTGACCCCGCACTGCTTTGGCTTTGGTCCCAGCTGTGATCATCGGGCTTCTTCTGATCCAGACTCTCCGGCCAGGGAAGGGCCTTTGAGTCACAGCTTCCCAGGCATCAGAAGAGGCTGCTTGAGTTACTTCCTTAGTGTGTGTGTGGAGGGGAGTGTTCCTGAATATGACATCTGTTCCTTTGAGACGCATACACTCTATGCTTTTGACCCAGTCTGTGGCCACAGCCGAGGGGGCCGGGGCTGGGATGGGGGTGGGGGGCGGGGAGAGGCAGAGGGCAGGCCAGGCCCTGAGCTCACGTGTCTTATCTCTGAGCTTTGCGACATAGTCCAGACCTTTGTGGCTCCTTGCCCACGTGACACTTGTGAGGCGGTGGAACAGAGGATCAGAGCACGGGCTTCGGGGATCCGACGGACCTGGCTTGTATCCTGGCTCATTATTTCCCAGCTGTGTGCCGTTGGCCAAGTCACTTAACTCACCTCTGGGATTGAATGAGCTCACGGCATGGGGGTGTGATGGGGTCCAGACCTGGGAGACCTCCTGAAGACGGACCCTCCCCCCTTCTCTTTCCACTCAGTGAAGAATGGCGAACAGTGCAGAGTCCAGCTTCATGGGTCTCAGGGGCTCTTCTGGTCACCGCGGGAGGGAGGAACACAGGGTGTTGGGGCAGCTGGGGCAAGTAGGGTTTCTGGAACTCTTCGGCGGGTTGGCTCCGTGGGCTCTGGGCACGTCTCTGTCGGTGGGCTCTGGGCATGTCTCTGTCTGAAGTCTGCTTTCGCAAAGCCCCAGGGCCCAGCTGTGTGGCTGCCCTGTTCCCAATGGCAAGTATACCCTCCAGGAGCGTGGCTGTAGTCTCAGGGGGCGCTCTGAGGGGCACTTGTTATGCCATCTGGTGTCTCATCATTAGATTTGTTCCTTTGGTTTAACATGTACTTCTTTAAACTTGCAGAGCTCCTGGCACGAATTCCACATTTATTAGTCATTCAAGCCTGAATGTAAATGAATGTATCCCACCTCTGACTCGCAGAGATGCGTCAGTCTCTCTGAGCCCCAGTTTTCTCCTCTGATAAATGGGAACGAGCCCTGTGTGCCCAGGGTTGACGTGAGTCGTGCTGAGATAGCACATGGGAAGGGGCTCGAGCAGCATCTGGCAAATAGTACAAGCACCATCAGTATTTACAGTGTTCAGTCCGAGATGGGGACACTGCAGAAAAGGTTGTGTAGGGGAAAGGGCGAGAGGATGCTGGGATTTCCGCACAGGAGGTGGGTGTGAAGGAGATTGAGGCTGGAAAAGGGGGCAGGGGGCGGTTGTGAAGGTGCACTTGAGGGGCGGCTTGGAGAGAGGTACTGGAGGTCTCGGGTGGATCATGGGGGACGTGGAGTGTGAGGAGACAGCGTCTAGGGAGAGGTGCTCAAGCCACTCCTGGAGAGGGTCACGCCTGCCTGGGGGGGCTGCTATGGGGGCTTGAGGAAGCGGGACCTCCAGAAAGGTTAGGGATCCAGGAGGTGGGGATCGGAGACTTGGGGAGGAGGGGCATATGGTTGGGCTCCCATCCTTCTGCTCGTTTCTCTGGCAGGGGATGGGGCCAGTGGCCCAGAGTACAGGGGGCTTGTGGGAGCCCTGGTGAGCCATGCACTGTGCGGTTTTGCCTGGTAAAGGAGGTGGGAGGCCAACCCCAACCAGATCTGTGTCTTAGGGGTGGGCAGAGCCCTGGAGGGGAGAGCACTTGCCCAAGGTCACCCAGTTAGAGTAGATGCATGTGTTTGTGTATGTGCACACGCGTGTGCCCGTGTACATGCTCAGGCTTTCCATCGGAGCGTAATATCCACAAGATGAACGCATCACGCAGCCAGTAACCGTGACCAGGAAACGGAGCATGAGCAGCCCCCGGGGTGCCCTCCTGGCTCCACGCACCCAGTGCTTCCCCACGGGTGTCAGGACCCTGACTTCTCACAGCACAGGGCTTCACTTGTTCTTCAGACATCGTGAGGAAGGAATTGCATCGTGGCTGTTCTTTCGTGTGTGCTGTTTTCCTCTCATTACTCCATTTGAGAGGGCCGTCCCCGCTGTGTGGCGTAGACCCTTGTCCCCGCTGCTGTCGTGTGAACTCCGTTGCGTGAAGGCCCCGCGTTTACCCACTCGACTGGCGGTGGACGTTGCTTCCAGTTTGGGGCGTGTGGCTGGTGATGCTAGGAACATCCTGGTCCCTGTCTTCCAGGGCACACACGCATTTCTCTTGCGTACACAGAAGGGTGAAGTTGTCGGGTCTCCTGTCTCTTGTGACATCAGTTCTCAGAGGTTCTCAGGTTCAGCCAACTCAAAGGCTTTTCACATTTCCTGGGTCCCTGGGCTGGAGGCTACGCACCTAGAATGTGGAACTAAATGTGGGGAGGGGGAGACAGATGGGGAGGGAGGCCTCACCCTTCTGGAGAACTGACCGTGGCTTGGTCCCCATCCCGATTATCTTTGTCCCCCCTGGTTTCTTTCATGCCATTGGATGAAGTGGATTTTTTTGGAGAGACACAAAAGCAGGGACTTGGAAGAGCCCCAAGTTTACATTGTGGGTTTAAAATCCTGATCTTGCAAAACACGCCTCCTCCAAGGACACCCGCACGCTGTGCCTAGAGCGGCCCTGCGGGAACCCTGGGAGGTGCGAGCTTTTCTGCCTAGGAGCCACACGAGCGGAGGCCTGGGGCTGGAGGGTGGTCAGGTGGAAGGGGCGGGAGGGGGAAAGGGAGACTGGAGGTCAAGGGTGGCGGTTGGGTTGTGGCGTTGCATTGGTTCCCGTGTCTGTGCAGCCCCAGGGCAGAATTGGGAGAGGGAACCTCAGGAAGGCACTGCTGTTTAGGGGGGGAAAAATCCTTGCACAGATCAGCAAACCATCTGAGCACAAATGGGGGAAACAATCTGTCGTGTCCTGGCCCGTCAGGCCTGGGAGGGAAGTGGGCCCCCGGGACGAGGCTGGAGGGCTGCTGGGAGAAGCAGGGTGTTCTCTAAAAGGAGGGGGGCCCTGCCATAGCCTCTGTGGACTGTGGTCTCCCAGCGGAGGCTCCGGATTCCCTTCTAAGCCAGGTTGTATTTTGTGATAAAGTTCTCTAGTTTGGGGATAAAAATGTAAGAGACGTCTTCTATATTCTGCACACTCCTTGTAAGATTCAGGAGGGGGCGGGGGAGGCTAACAGGAAGCGTGACTCCAAGTCTGACCTGATTCCCTCTTGCTGTAGGTGGGCCTGCCTCGGGCCCCGGGAGCTTCCTCTCCCAGAGAAGGAGGGGGTTTTGCCTGTGCCCTCACCAGACCCCGGTCCCTTCTCCCTGCCTCCTGGATGCACTTCCCCTCTCTTGTCCTAAGGAGGAACTTGCTCTCCTCTTAGGGGCAGGGGGTGGGATGTGAGCTTGTGTCTCAGGCCTCTCTCCTGATGTTGTCGTGGATTCCCCGAGCATGTGTGGCTGGCTCTTCTCGGTCTCTGTCTTGTCTGGAAGAGGTAGCAGTTAGAGGCTATCGCTGGGAGAGGCCTGCAGGCGGGAGGGCCTTGGCTCAGCTGTACATGGCTGCCCTGAGGTTCCCTGGGGGCATGGCCCTGCCAGACCTTCCTACCCCTAGCTGGGATTCAAACCTGGGGAATAGCAGAAAAATACTTCCTTGCTCTGTAGCTGTCTCTGGCCTTGGATCTTGGTGTTAGGGAGCTTGTCCCCTCAGAGGCTGGTGATGGATGGGTGGGCCAGGGCACAGGGCCTGTCCTTGTCTCCTGTGCTGCCCAGAGCCCCAAGCCTCAGTGACCTCAGCTGGCATCCGTGGTGGCTGTGTGCTGAGGGACACATGTGCTCATTTCTCCAGCTGGGCAAACACTTAGGTCGCAGCTCCTATCTCAAGGTCCAGGGAGGTCTCTCTTATCTGGTGAGGCGGGGGCTCCTTCAGTTTCCAGGAACCAGCAAGAAAGGGCTGGGGTAGGGACAGGAAAGGAGGACAAGGCAGGGGACAAGGGAGGATCTGAGAGACAGAGGAGCTTGTCTGTGTCTGGAGGGGTGGGGAGGGGCGGGGAGGGGCCAGGCCTGGATGGGTCATAAAACACCTCAGTCTGTAACCAGGAGGAGCCGTCTGTATCTCTCGGTGTGCCGGCTTTCCTTATTTATATAGAAATATGGAGGGAGTGCGTGTGAGTCCTGAGATGTGTTCCTGGGCTTCACATTAAATACATTTCAATTTAGCTGACACCGGGAGCAGTAAGGTGACTCAGGGCCAGCCAGGGCTCAGGGTCCGCTGACAGTCGGGGATGGGCGGTGGCCTCCAGGGAGCCAGCCAGGGAGCAGATCCCACGGGAAGCTCCCCGGAAGTGGTGGGCAGCTTCCAGTCTGCGCCATCTATGCCCCAGTGATGGGGGAGGGTCTCGTGGTCTTGGTCCAGTCTGATGGAGGTGTCCTTACAGACCCATCTGAGAGCCGCAGATGGCGGCTCTCCTTGGAGGCGTCCCTAAGCCCTTGGGTCTTCTGGGGTCATTCTTTCTGTTGACGTGTTTAAAGAAATCCCTCCTATATGGGGCCATGCAGAGCCCCACAGATCTCCAAGGACTCTCTGGGGGTGCTTATGTGTCCCTGGCCATCTCCTCTCTGAGCTCCTGCTTCTGTGAGTTATCCTGCTCAGTTTGTCCCCTCCTGTGTCGTCGTGTCCCTGACATTGACCTACTGGGAAGGGCACCCTTTCCCCTGATTCCTGGCACAGAGTAGGGATGATGGCTTGGGGGCTGGGACCACTGGGATGCATAGCAAGCAGATGACAGGTCCCTCCTGCATCCCCGCAGCTGGAACCCCCCACCCGACCCCACATTGCCCTCTGGCCGCCCTGCCTCCGCCACCTCTGAGCCCCTGTACCTTGTTCTCGCTCCTCTTCTCCCAGGCTGAACCAGAAATCTCCCGTCTTCTGACTTGATATGCAATCATTTCGCTTTCTCTCTGTCTCACTGCTCTGGGCATCTAGACTCCTAGACTCTGCTCTGGCCCACCCAGGGGTTAGTAAAACAAAACTGAGCTCTCTCCCTAAGGGGATTCTGCTGCCTTTTATAGGAACAGTCTTTCCTTTCCTGTTATCCTAATCTCGAGAGGGGCGGTTAGGGCAAGAGCCAAAACAGGAGTCCCGGCCCATGGAAACTCAGGGTTCCGTAGTCCAGTGCCTCATTTGTAGGAGGAGAAACTGAGGCCCAGAGCAGGAAAGTGGCATGTCCATCCATCCTGCACCCGCGTGGCTGGTGACAGAGCAGGTGGAGTGCAGGCATTGTCACTCCCACCCCAGCCTGTCCCCCCCCATGGTGCTGTCCCGGCTCTGCTTGGCTTCTGGGGCAGCTCTGGGCCAGATGGGGCCGCTCTTCTGCTGCCTGTGCTGTGGGGCTGGGTGCATGTGGGGGGGAGGGGGGCTGTGTCACTGAGGTTCCAGGGCGGGGCTCAGGCAGTGAGGAGGAGCCAGGGAAGCTGGAGATGAGCTCGGACAGAGGGACAGCAGGGTGACAGGGCAGGATGCCATGCCTGAGACATTCTGGGGAGCTTAGCTCTGCTCCAGAAGCAGTGATGTGAGCTCGGCATTGTCGAGGGGCCACATCTGCAGGAGTGGGCTGCTGCCCATGCTCTGGTCCCGCTGGGCCTGCGTGCTCCGACCAGGTCATGGTTGGGGGCCCTTGGTTAACAAGCTCTGACTTAGGGTGTCCCCAGCTGCAGTCTTGCTCTCCTCTTCTCATGCCATACCTTTGAGGAAAGGACCACCCAGCCTGCGCTGTAGCATTGGCTCATCAGGGCTGCCCAGGGAAGGCGGGCAGGCTGTGCACTGCACAGCTCCAGGAGTGGTACCAAGCAGCGGCCAGGTCAGATCATCTGATGTTCCCCTATTTTTCTAGCTGAGACGATAGGAACCACCACCCCCACCTTGCTTTACTCTGTGCTCCAAGCACATACTACGTTTGGATGGATGATGGGCTTGGGTGGGGGTCCCAGGGATGAGAATGGTTTGAGAGACTAACCATCACCCCTAGCTCCGTGGAGTTGAAAGAGAGGGGGAGCTATTTATATCTTCTTGGATAGATTGACTCACTGGCTGAGTACTGAGCGAGTGTGCTGGGACGGAGGGGTGGGAGAAGCTTGCTTCACTTAGCACGATGGTGAAATTGCCCAATCCCGAATGGTTTGTTAAAAATCCACCCAGTTTTCTGAGAAGGGAAAGTGGGAAGATTGCTAGTTACCTCAGCTGCTGGTGCAGAGATGGGCTAGAGACCGTGTTTCTTTCCTTCCTTCCTCTAGATATGCATTTTTTTATCAACACCCGAACTCACCCATTCTCATTCTTGGGCGGGGGGGGGGGGGTGTGTGTGTGTGTGTGTGTGTGTGTGTGTGTGTGTGTGTGTGTGTGTGTGTGTGTGGTGTTGGAGTCGGGGACCCTTGCTTTCGTAAGGAAACTGCAGCTCCCTGATGCTCCAGATTCACATGCTCCAGCATGTGAGTGACCGCTCCCTGGCTCCTGGTGGCCTCCTTTCTGAACTCTGGTGGACTCAGTCCTCTGGGGAACACAGGAGGTGACTTAGTCAAGAGAGAAAGCGGCGAACGCCACTGGACCAGGCTGGGCCCAGAGCCAGGGGGTGTGGGGGACAAGCAAAGTGGAAATGTCACAGGCAGCCTTGGTAGCTGAAGCCTGTCTTGGCCCCCCAAGCCCTCCCCTGCTTGGAGCAGGGGAGACCAGCCCCTCTGGCCTCTTCTCTTTTCCCCACCTCTGCCCCTGGGTCTCTGTGGCCTGCCATGCTCTCTTCTGTCCCCTCCTGGCACTGTGACAGCAGACAGCAGATAGGACTTGGTATTTCTGACTTGAGTTGGGGCCCCAGAGGCTGATAATGTTGCTATGAATGTCCCTTGGCCACAGAGCCCCACTGTGGGGGGGGAGGGGGTGCGTGATGGCAGAGGCAGGCGAGAGCCTCTCTGAGCTCACCAGGCCCTGGCCCCTTCTTTCTGGAGAAGCATATGCTGCTGGTGCCCCCTTGGCTCCTGCTGTTTCCGAGCACTCGGGCTGCCTCATGGCTGCTGGTGACGGCCATTCTTTGCCCAGGGCTTCTTGTAGCCACTGCCGCTGGCTGGCCACCTCCAGCAGGAGTTGGCTGTCTCTGCAAGCCACCCTCAAGCAGTGACCGGCAGGAGACGGGCTGCACATGGCCCAGGTCCCTCACCGCTGGGCAGAGGACTCTGGGGCAGACTGGGCATCTGCTGGTCTCCCAGGCTGGTGACTCGCCCTCTCTGGGCTGTCTCCCCTTCCCTGTGTCACCTCTTCTCTCCCTCACTGGCGTTTCCTTTACCTCCCAAATGCATGACTTGTCCTCAAATCCTTGTCTTGGGGTTTGCTTTTGGGGAACCCAACCTCAGGCCCCCCCCCCCCCCCGGAAGCCCCTGGAAGCACTCAGGTCTCCATGACTTGGCTCATTTGGTATGGGAGGTTCAGAGCTGGCTCTTGGGCTTTGCAGGGAACCAAACTGGGGATTGCGGTGCCTGGACCTGAGCATCCGTGGACCGATTGGAGGGGGTTAAAACCTTCACATGAGGGCGCCTGGGTGGCTCAGTCAGTTAAGCATCTGCCTTAGGCTCAGGTCATGATCCCAGGGTCCTGAGATGGAGCCCTGCGTGGGCCTCCCTGCTCAGTGGAGAGTCTGCTTCTCCCCCGGCCCCCCGCCTCGTGCTCTCTCTCTCTTGCAAAAATAAATAAATAAAATCTTGAAGAAAAAAAACAAAACAAAAACCTTTCACATGATTTGACTGAGATTAGGTGTAACGCTCCATTCTGCAGGCGCCGAAACAGAAGCCCAGAGACATTAAGATGATCTCAGTGTCACCCAGCTGGTAGAGAGCAGGGTTGGCCTGGGGCTCTGTTCCCCAACACAACGCAGTGGGGGAGCCCCTGTCCTGCAGGGGTGAGGGGTGGGGTGGGCTCACTCTCCTGACCCCTCCTTAGCCTGCAAAAGCGGGAGTGGGGTTGGAGTCAGAGAGCCACCAGGTGGCTTCAGGTAGGCCTCAGCCGAGCCTGACCGTGTGCCCGCACTCTGTCCGCAGTGCTGGGAGGGCCGGAGTCGCGCGGCGTCCTGCGCAGGATGAGCGAGCTGCTGGAGCTCATGGCGAAGCGCGTGGACGCGCTGGCCCGGCTGGAGAACGGCAGTGAGCCGCACCGGGCTGCCGGCCACGGGCGCTTGGCTGTGGACAGGTAAGGGGTACGCGGAGGGGGAGGGGCACTCAGGGTGGAGGAGGGGGGAGCACCCCGGGTGCTGGTGGGCGCCGTTTCAAAATGCGCTCCCAGAGCAGGGGTTGGGGGGCCCTGTCGGGCAGCCCCCTTTCGGCTAGCCGTGTGGAAACGTTTAAGAATGCAGAAGCAACCCGGTATTACAACCCCGAGCACATGCCCGCCGCCCTACTTAACAGCCGTTATCGTTTTGTCATGTTAGTGGCCTGACGTCCTTTTTTCCTGTTTCCTAAAAATCGCAGACAAAAGCTGGAGGGCCCTTTCCCGGCTTCCCTGTAGGGACAAGGGACTTCCTGAGTTAGGCGTCCGTTCTTTGAGTCTGTGGTAACCGTTGGCATATGCCTCCTTTATACGCACACGCCACACACACACATACACATATACACACACACACCACAAACATGGGGTGTGGGGTGTTTGCTGGCCCCATGTGAGTGGATCCCACAGCACGCTTCTTGCACCTGTGTTTTCCACTCAACACGACAGCTTGGAGCTCTGTCCACGTTGGCGGTCACGTGTGGGATGGGCGTATGGGTAAGATGGCCCAGTGGTTGTCTGTCCTCTACCAATGGGCCTGGGCCATTTTTGCCAGAAAGAATTTCTTGGTTTTTTCATTCTAAATATTCCCCTACTGAGTCTGGAATGTCCAAAGGTCTCTGAGAGTTGGTGCCATGGTCCCTTGTGCCTCAGCAGTGGCCCCAGAGCCCCTACGTGAAACCAAATCATGTGTCTTAGGTGTGTGAGTGATCTGGAACCCCAGAAAAGGAGGATGTGTGAGGTCAGGGCCATCATGATGGGGCTCCTTGGCCCTCAGGCTCGGCTGTGGAGGGCGGGGCTTGCCGCCCACCCACCCCAGGGAGATGATCTGCACTTGACCTCTTTTCAACACTGGGGTTCCTCGTGGGGTGGATTTGCTCCATGTGTTCTAACTGCTAAAAAGTAAGTTTGAAACCCACACTTTACACGATTTAGCAAAAGCTGTACCTTGGCCAGTGTGACTTGCTAAAATTGTTCTACTGCTGAAAAATATCGTTGAAATCCACACTTCCAGACAATTTGTAGGAAAGCTGTAGCCCAGCCAATATGTGTGATGGAAAAGCCAAGGCTCCAGGCGTTTCCTGTTTGGAGTTTGGCACAGTCTGGGTTAAAGTGTTGGTGGGCCAGTCCTGGTCATGGCGGGACCCTGGCTGGCCTGAGGAAGGAGGTGTGGGTGGCGGACCCCTCCTGTGGACTGGGGTTTCTCTGCCCCGTAGCCTGCCTAGGTTGGGCTGTTGGCCATGACACCATCTCACACTGGCCCTGCCGATGGAATGTTCTGGAGGCCCAGTTGGGTCACTGGATGTCGGCGTGACTGCTTTCATATGAGGTGGCATTTACCAGAAGCTCACCCAGGGCCTGGCATCATCCTTATTGCGTTACCTCAGTGGCGTCAATGGTCCCAGGCCCACTTTATGGGTGCTTCCTTTCCTGCCACAGCGAGGGGGTAGCTGAGGCCCAGAGAAGGTCAGGATCTCGCCCAAAGCTGCACAGCTCTTAAGGGGCTGGGCCCGGCTCTGGGCCTGGGCCAGCAACTCCAGAGCTGTGTTTCCACCACTGAGCTCTTGATAGCCATTCACGAAACATGCGGCTGTGTGTGGGTTAGTTTTTATTCCTTTGCAAGACATTTCAGATCAAGAATTCACAGCCCAGGGACAAGATACCCTTTGTTAGCTCTTTGCCTTGATTTGTTTTGGTTTGGAAAACGTTCGCACTGAAATGACAGTCCGGGGGCCACATGGTGATAGTGTTGGGTTCCTCTCCCAGTGCGTGGCTCCTGAGCGGGCTGTGTGACCATGTGCCGGGTGGATGCTCTCTCAGCATCCTGGACGAGGATCTGACAGCAAACTGAAATGATCCGCTCATGAAGTATGTCTTGGACCTACTAAGTGCCAGGCTTGGCCAGCGGTGTTGGGGCCCAACGATGAGCCTTGTCCTCACTCCTGTGGAGAAGACGGGCAGGAACCAAAAAACAGAAATAAGGAAGACAAGTTTAGTCACTGTGCCTGCTCTGAAGGGTTAGGGATGGGTGCCATGGAAGGAACTAGTCACACAGGGAGGTCTGGGAAGCCCTTTCTGAGCTGGTGGTACTTAAGCTTGATTCTGTGGGAACCAAGGAGCCAGCTGTGGGAAGGAGCCAGCTACAGGAGGAGCTGGGAGTAGAGAATTTGAAGTAGAGCGAGCAACAGGTACAAAGGCCCTGGGGTAGGCATAAGCTTGGTATGTTGGAGGAAAAGAGCCAACGTGAAAGCTGATGTGGCAGAGCAGCATGAGGGACAGGAGAGGCCCACAAGGCAGGGGGCAGAGGCTTTGTCAGCTGTGGTGAGACCCTGGGACACTATTCTGACAGGTGTGGGAATTTGCCAGAGGGCTTTCCACCAGGGAGTGCTGGGACCTGGCTTCTTTTTTAAAAAGAGCTCCAACCACTGTGTGAAGAAGGGAAGCCCGGGAGCTTGTGGCAGAAATGGGGAGGAGGTAAAAGGATTGGGCTCCCCTGGAGCTCCCTCTGGGGCATGAGATCACTTTCTCCTCTGTGCAGAGTCCGCTTTCCTCTCGCTGTCTGTGCCCCTCTAATCCAGCCCCTCACCCTCATGGCATCTTTTGCCCTCTCCTGCCTGCCCCCAGCTGTGCTTCCACCTCTCTGGGCTGCTGGCTCAGCCTCTGCCCACAAGGCTGCTCACCAGGCTGAGGGCAGAACACCAGGCCGTTCTCCCTCCACGAGCATCCTGCTGTGGGGGGCAGAGACGAGGGTCAGGTGGCCTGTCTTTTTGGGCGGGAGACCTACTGTCAGCTCGTTCAGCGTCGTCTCTAGTTTCTTCCAGTCCTGGCCTCTGCCTCCCTCCCTCCTTCCCCTGCCCTGCCCTTCATCTCCTTCAGAGGGGAGTCCGCGCCACCTCCTAGCTCCATCCCGGAAAATAGCAACAATCCATCAAGACCAGCAGAGCCTATCAAACCCCATAGGCAAAGCCATAAATTGCAGGGACATTGTTGCTTCTGGTTTCAGGGAGAGAAATGGTGGGTGTGTTCAGGGCATGGGGGTGCTGCTTGCTCACACCTCGCCTGTGCACAGACACTCCAGCCCCTGCCCCATCTAAAGCCCCTGGACTGACCTATCTGGGCTAGGCAGGAGGGAGTCCTGCAGATGCGCGCTGCTGTGTTTCCAGCAAACTCTGTTCACCTGCACTTGGAGTCCTCACTTCGAAATGATCCGTGGCCTGAACAACCCCCACGGTCCTCCCCCGGCCCTGCTGGAAGCTTCTGGACTGTTGCCTCCTACCCATGGTTGGTATGTCCTCGGGGAAAGCAAATTTGCTTTTTTAGCCTAGGAAAACCTAATTAGGGGTTATTTGCAGATTTGCTGCAAATGGCATCATATTATGTATCCTAAAGCCAAACAGTAATGATCTCTGAATTTCCCATAAGGCTTCTCTACAGCAGCAGAGACGACCAACATTTTAGGCTGTTGTTATTCGAGTCAAATAGGAGTCCGTATCTACTGGACGCTTCTGTGTGTGGAGTCTGGGCCGGGGTTTCTAGAGCTCTGTTCTCAGAGGGACCCTGCTGGGGAGGGGCAGCCGCACCCGGCCGTGTGCACAGCAAGAGGGTCAGCAGGGCTGTGTTGGAGAGTCCGTAGCTCAATGCAGTGAGGGGCAGACTCGGGGCGGCAGCAGGTCATGTGACTGCTCTGAGCCCTCATCCTCTCTGTCCTCATCGGTCAGTGAGAGATAACACTGGGGAGTGGTGGGGAGACCCTGCCTCCCCCTCCAGCCCCCTCCTCCTCCCCAGCCCTGTGGTTTCTCTCCCTTCCCCGCTGGGTGAGCAGAGAGAGAAGGGGCGAGCTGATCACATTTGGGAGGGCCTAGAATCCCCAAGGAGGAGAGGGAGTTTGGGATGAGCCTGCTGGAAGTGGGGGCGGGCATTTCAACAAAGTAGCACGAGCCAGGTGCTCCAGACAGAGGCAGTGAGCAAAACCACCCGTAGGGCTCAGATGTGGGAGGAGGGGCTGGAGGACCTGGTGGGTGGGGGGGAGTGAACCCCAAGCTTGAGGGCTGCGAAAACTGTCTACAGACTCTATACTCCCCAGTTTATGTCTTCAGTCTCAAATATCCGCATGCCCACTCAGCTGGGTGTCCCGGGAACAACTCAGATGAGGCGTGTTCTGGACACACCTGAATCCCACTTCTCCCTCCAGGCCATGCCAGTCCCAGCCTTTCTATTGTCTGGACCCCCAGCCTTTCTATTGTCTGGACCCCCAGGCTTGGAGTCAGCCTCGACCCTTCTCTCTCTCACTTGTATCCCGTTCGTCAGCAAACTGTCCCCCCATTCAGAATGTGCCCAGAATCCCACCTTTCTCCACTGCCCACCACTTCTGCCCTCCTCCCACTGATTCCCAACTCAGCAGCCAGAGAGATTATTTTAAAATACCAATTTGGTCAGGAGCCTCCTCTGTTCCCCACCTCCCCCATAGCTCCCTGTCACGCCCAGTGGCCCATGACCCCCATGCCCCCAGCCCCGTTGTCTGTCTGGCTCCTCCCCTGCTATCTTCCCACTTGCTCCCTGGGCTTCAGCCCACCAGCCTCATCACTGTTCCTGCAGCACAGCCATCTCCCTCTGGGCCTTTGCACAGGCTGTGCCCTCTGCCTGGAAGCTCTTGTCTCAGATCTGGCCGGGTGAAAGAATCCATTTTCTTCCTCCCACGGTTTTCTCCCCTGACTTCCTTCAGTTTTTGCTCACATATCACCAACGGGTCCTTCCCCGAGGACCGGTTTCAAATTGCACCCCGTCTCGTCTCCCACATTCCCATCCCTTTTCATTCGTCGCCACCTCACCCCGTGTATTTTCATGATTTGTTTGTCCGCTATCTCCAGAGCTGGAACAGATGCCCTGTGAGGGCTGAGTTTTTTGCCTGTGTCACTTCTGGATCACAG